AGTCTCAAAAAACCCTCTCGCCTCTATCTACTCCCCCTCCTCTCCCTACATCCACATCGTTCTCGCCCTCGCCTTGACCAACTCGATTCCCACCCTACTCTGCATCCCCTGCCAAACTTCCGCCTCCATGCACTTCCTCCAACTACGCCACTCCATCGCCGTTGCCTCGCTCATCAAGCCGCCCGCCGAAAGCACAAGGGGGCGGAACGCCCCCCCGTATATCCTCGGCTGCTTGTCGACAACCTCCGCGTCCCGCTTCGACAGCCACGCCACCAACCGACCCTGCACCCAGTCCAGCCACTCCATGCTAATCGGCTTCCCCTTATCCACCTTGTAGACACTCTTATCCTCCAACCCGTACACCTTGAGGTCGTAGTCGCAGTTCTCGAGCTTTCCTCCTCCTCCCCGCACCCTGATATCGTTCCTTCGGCGCCCTGTTTGTGTCGAGGGTTCGAGAGAGACAACGGCCCCTGCGACGCGAGAGAGGTAGGTGTGGATGACTCTGTTGATAGAGTCGTGGCGTCGGATGGACCAAGTCTCTCGCTCACGGCAAACTTCGTCATGACCGAGGTCAGACTCGTTACCGCAGGCGGAACAGGTGGGGGAAGAGGAGGGAGTGAGGAGACGATAGTGCAAGCCGGCGGCGACCTCGTGGTTGGAAAGGCGTAGGGGCTCGAAGTAGGGTATCTGTCGGAGCCAGGAGCGGCCAATCTTGGAGGCGTTTTCAACGAGGTGTTTTCGTTGAGGCTGGGTCGCCGTCTCCATGAATGAAGACAGCTGGTCGGACCACAGCTTGCCGCATCGGACGCGTTGGGGGGTGGGGATGGGGGGAGGGTCGAGGAGATGGATGAGGTCGATCTTGGCGAGAAAGGAGTCGGAGGCTTCCTGTGCTGACTTGTAAGCCAACGGTGCAATTTTGTTAAACGATAGAAGCCCCAGTCCTCCAAACCTAGCCGGTAGGCTTGACAGCAACCTCCCCTTCTCCTCATCCTCTGGCGCATTCTCCCTCTGCCTCATCCGCAACCTCTGGACCTCTTGCCACAACCGCTCGTCCATCTTCTTCCATTCCTCGCCAAAGTCGTCGGTCTTCAAACTACGCTGGAGATGGCGTATGTTTTGCTGAAGGCATTGTTGGAGGAGGAGGTGGGCGTGCTGGTGGGGAAGATCGACGAGTTTATCGAG